CCCCAAAACCCCAAAACCCCAAAACCCCAAAACCCCGTACATTCTCCAAGAAGTTGAACTACATAATTTCTTTAAATACTTATGAGTCTAATGAATATAATTGCTCCTGAAATTATTCATGATAGGCTTATTCTTGAAAGTATTGTTTGAATGAGGTGGCCTCGCATGCTGGGTCCTCTTCTTACGACCCCCATAATTACCCTTAGGAGGCAAGTACTTCTTATGCTCCCCCTTTTGTTGGCAACCCATTGAGATTATTTCAGATGAATCCCCATTATTTCAGTTAGTAGTGCCATTAACACTAGAGAGTTCTTGTAGGAAGGGATTTCTTCCAGTCGACATTAATTTCCTAGAAGGTTTATGTTGAAATAGTTACATTGTGGAGCCCAGATCGATTTTCTTCTTCCGTAATTTCCGCATACTATTCAGCTTTGCCACATCTTCGCTAAATTTAGTAGCCATTACTGGCATTTTGAGTATCCGGTTCGCAGACCTAGTGTGAGCCTATAAAATTATCATAAGTAAATTATATTGAGATTAAAAGATGTCTCAAGTATACTTACCTTCCTTGATCCTTTCCTCTGGCTCAGAGTATGCTGATATGGTCTCCTTTCGTACTTCTTAGAGTTAGAACACCTGTCCTTGATCTCTTTGATTCAAGCTCTGAGTCATCGTTGAGTGTAAGGGTTTCGAAGAAGACTTCTCTCTTCAAATTCAGCAAATACTTCACTAAGGTCTCTCTTGCCGCCTGGTTTTTTAAGGTGGGACTCTAAGATCCCTGCTATTTCCTCAGTACCTTTCACTCTGAGCAAGTCTAGTGTCTTGATGACTGCTCTTTGAAATTTTATTAGATTCAGCCCTTTTGCTATATCCTTCAAAACTGATTTGAAGTTGACCTTGAGCGTTCGGTCAAAATCAGTCAGGAACAATTTCTGGATCGCATCAAGCGCTATATTCGGTCATTCATTAGTAGTTGATAAGATCTGATCACGTAGTAGGAATATGTTAGGACCCTTAAAGTGGTTGTCATTATTCACAGACATGCTTTCAGGGATTGAGAATGCTTCGCTGTTAGAGATATTATGGTTCCTAGCCATGCTACCAGCAATAACCCGAGCAGGTCTTTCTGAACAGACACTTGTCCGATCCTCTTCATTCTCAATATCAGAATCTACATTGATGTCCTCTACTTCAGCGTCTCCTTTCTTTATCCCAGGGTTGTTGTAGGTGAAGAGGATCTTCTGCTGAGATTTTATTCCATCTTTCTTATGAAAATACCATTTCTTCCTCTTAAAATTCTTTTGATATATATGTCTGTATTTACAAAGGTAATCGCCAACATTGGTGTAGTCATTAAAGCAGTTTTCCACCTCACCTTCGACCGATCTCACAGTGTTGGGATCATTCATCTTCTTTGGAGTCATCTTGATCCTATTTCATCTGAGATCAAGCTCGAATTTTTCCATTTTCCATAAAATATGTCTTCTGACGCTTGTCTCTGTCTTTTTCCACTCCTTTGGCTCGTATTTATTATGAAACCGAAGACAGACTCTGGCTCCATTGAGGAAGAGCATCTCCGCAGTAGGGATTAGCCTCCTCTCGAGTGCGTAATATATAGCAGTGAAGGCTTTGTCACCTCCAGTGCTGTTCAGGTTGAATATTTCCTTCTTCCTTGCATTCAAGTTCTTGTTCAATTTTCAGATGAGCTCGACGCCTTTGTGGTGCCGCTTTGTCACAGCGTGGTGCAGTGGCGTCAGTTGTTCAGAATCCTTGATGTTTGGCTTCGCACCATTGAATACAAGCATACGTGTGATCTCCTCAGCCATTTCAACATTTCTTGAGAAGACATCCATGATGATGTGCAATGGAGTCTGAAGTTTGAAATCAACCTTGTTGATATCCACATCTCTCATTATTAATTTGTTTATTGTGTTAGTTTTGTTCCGTGAAACAGCTATATGAATTGGGGCTCCAAAAGAGCCTCCTCCGAGGTTGACATCTACCTTTTCTTTCTCTATCAAGATGTTGGCTATTTCTTCATGGTCGTCTCTGAGAGCAAGCCCAAGAGGAGTTCATTGATCCTTTTCAAGTTTATTAGGGTCAATACTCTCAATATTTAGTAAGCCCTTGACTACACCAACATGGCCTGCAGTTGCAGCCCTGTGCAAAATTGTTCTCTTTCGGTTGTCTTGACGGTTATAATCTGGTTCTTTTCCAGACTTGAGATCAGAATCCTGACTGAAATAGATCAAGAAGGCACTAAGAGTAGGATTGCCTCACCCATCAAACATATTACAAAGCTCTTTAAACTTTGCAATTCAGGGCTCCATTGACTCTTGCCTAATTTTGCCAGTTTTTTCTGCGATTCTTATCGGGGGAATTCAATATTTGAACCATTCGATGTCGAGCACTGCAAGATTCTCGAGCTTGCCCATTGAAGAAGGGATCGATGTGAATTTATTCTCCTTAATGCTGATTTTATTTTAAGCTGATACACTCACCAATCTCCTTTGGGATCTCCTCTATGCAGTTACTGTGCACGTCAAGAACTTTCAGGCGAGTAAGCTTCCGTATGCTTGTAGGAAGATTTTCAATCTGATTATTATCAACATATAAAGATTTTAGAAAGATTAAGTCTCATAACTTCTCAGGGAACTTCTTCAGTGAATTATTTGAGAGTTTCACATACCTCAGTTTGCTGCTCAACTCATGAGAGGGAAGTTTAACCAAGCCTCTACATGAGTAATCCAACTTCTCGTTAGATCTGAGGTTGGTTCAACCACTCTCGCTCCTCATATTGATGCTATTATTCTGAGTTTTACTTAACAAGTCATTCTCTTTGGTGTTTCCTTGAGGAATATTCATAGAAAATTGTGATAGGTCATCTAGTTGATCCAATGAATCCATATTAAGATCGCATTCAGGCTGATCACCACCTGTAGATTTCATTCTGTAGAAACTTCCTTTGGCTCCCAACGATGAAGATGATTTTCAAAAGAAATTTCTACTATGAAGGCTTTCTCTCAGAGCGCCATTAGGGCTGACATAGTTTGCTCTTGATTTCTGCCCGTGAATCCGTGGTATATTATTATACTTAGCATTAGAAGCCTTGCTTTTGTGACCTTCAGCCTGCATTTAAATTGTTTGTAAAAATATAATATGGTTGCTTCAAACTGCCAATTTTATTCAGGGGTTTTGGGGTTTTGGGGTTTTGGGGTTTTGGGGTTTTGGGG